CATAAATTCATGAAATAGTAGTTCAATAAAATTTTGAATGTGAGTCAACAAACGCGGCGACATGGCCTTTGACCTGTGACCCATCTGGAAAGGATTAACTACAGGTATTTATTCAACACATACTTTCAAGCTCACTTAAATCTTCAAATTGTCTAACCTGATGAATTCATAAATTAGCTTGAAAGCTTGCATTTAATAAATATACAGTTAGTATAGCTGAAGTTCATGTTGTCTATATATTCATGAGTTGAAAAAAAAGTGTAAAAACTGTGATAAGAATCTAGTAAACCTTTCTACAGTGCCATTTCATTCTGTGAAAATATACTGACTTTCAATAATAAAGATCATCAGTTTTCATAAATTATTTTGATAAAACAGCCACCAAGGTATTCCATAATTGGGAATTGTTCAGCCACAGTATTCTTGAAAGTGATCATTCTTTGTGGATTTAATGGAGTAATACCAAAGTTAATATTGTTTCAAATATAATTGTTTTTAGCCATAGATGAATGCTCACTGCTTCAGGAAAAAACATTTTATCACAATTAAAGTAAATAAAATTTTCAAAATAGCTTTGTTTACTTTAGTCTAGCTGTTCATATTGTTAAATATGAATTTGAAATATTAGTTACTTATTGTGGTATAAAGAAACTATATTAGTCTTTTATTAATCATTATTTTATTTATCTTAAATTACTATTAGTTTACAAACTAATGTTTATATTGTATTTTTGCAGGTTTACCGGTTACTGTTTCTTTCATTTTTAAATGGAACTACCTTTGCTGGTGGTTCCATACACCAGAAAGCGGCCTCAATGTTTAGAGAGCAAACTGTTCCTTTGAAACTTTTATCTCCTTCTGTATCAGAACTAAACATCCCTGAAATTCTTCCTCTGGGTCATCTTGAGAGTTGGTTAGTTTTTCTTCAGAAACATAAGAAAGAAGCTGGGGTTTTATGGAATGCTGTCCAAAAGATCTTTGACTTAAGCCTTAAAGATCCAAAGGTCACTATCAATCCTATAGAAACAGCTGTGGCCTTAAAGGTAATACAATAAATCTTGATATAACCAAGTTTCAAAAAGAATATTATTTTTAGTGTCAGCTAGCAGATAGTATAATACAAAATTTCTGATTAACTTTAGATTTGTTTTTTTTATTACATTCCTTTAATTATTTCAACATGAGGTTCAAATCAGAAGTGTGTAAAAATTAAATAATTTAAGATTTGTCTTTTGTTCTGGTAGTAAATGGGAAATCTTTGTCAGTGACTTGTTGATAGATCTGAAAAGAAATTTTATGCACACATGATTTTAAATCAATAATGGAGTAAGTAAAAAGATTATGATAAAATGTCTGAAATCAAACATGAGTTTCATCACTAAGGTATTTTAGCAATTTTTTACATGAACTTGGAGTCTCCTGTACTGCAAATTAATAGCATTTCAAATAACTGATGAGTATTGATATTGAAGAAACTGCCTTTTAGCTGTAATTATGGGAGATAAAAGTAATATGAAATAGACATCTTCTTCTAGAATATTTAACTGTGTCAGAGAGGACTACAGAATCAGGAAAATTCTGGGGGCACATATCTTTAATCTACTGGTTTCTTTACTGTGGTTATTGTGTAGTGCTTACAATGTTTTAAACTTCACAAAATGCATATAGAACAAACTAAATGCTATGTATTCTTATGTCTCATCTTTATATAAAACAACAGTGAACAAGTATGTCAAGATAGAGCTTAGAAAATTCCTGATTTATGATTAATTGTGTCCAATGAAACCTCATTATTCCTAATGCAATTGTAATGAATTAATCAGTTGAATCAGTCACTTTGAATTTGATTGATACTACTTATAGTATGCATTATCAATTGATAAACATAAGGGTTGAATCAGTCACTTTGAATACAATGGAACCTACTGATAGTATGTATTATTAATTGATAAATATAAGGGTTGAATCAGTCACTTTGAATACAATGACACTACTGATAGTATGTATTTTAATTGATAAATATAAGGGTTGAATCAGTCACTTTGAATACAATGGACACTACTGATAGTATGTATTATTAATTGACAAATGTAATGGTGCAAACTAGCAAGGGTGGGCATGCAACTGTTAAATGAAAGTCAACTATTTGTGCAATAAACTTACCAGTTTATTACGACATGTGGTCAATAGTTATACAACTTGCATAATCCGTGTCATATTATGTTATTATCTTCACATAAATCATTATTTTGTTCAAAGCTGTGATTTACTTTTAGAATACAAAATGTACTGTACTTTTTTTTTCTATAATCAAACATCATGTTGTAATGATGGTCTCTTTGTTTTTATTCATTGTGACTTGACATGACTGTAGCATAAGTCACTTTGTAATAGTTTATACGTATATCCCTATTGTTAAGGTTGTTCATAGAGATATTGTTGTAAGTGGATAACTACTTCAAATGCGGGTGTTTTGTGATCAGTAACTATCACCCTGTTTCCTACTCTAAACTTACAACCAGAGCTGTACACCATTTGTACTAAACTTACAACCAGAGCTGTACACCATGTGCACTAAACTTACAACCAGAGCTGTACACCATCTGTAGTAAACTTACAACCAGAGCTGTACACTACTTGTACTAAACTTACAACCAGAGCTGTACACCGTGTGTACTCAACTTACAGCCAGAGCTGTACACCGTGTGTACTCAACTTACAACCAGAGCTGTACACCGTGTGTACTCAACTTACAACCAGAGCTGTACACCGTGTGTACTCAACTTACAACCAGAGCTGTAAACCGTGTGTACTCAACTTACAGCCAGAGCTGTACACCGTGTGTACTCAACTTACAACCAGAGCTGTACACCGTGTGCATTAAACTTACAACCAGAGCTGTACACCGTGTGCATTAAACTTACAACCAGAGCTGTACACCGTGTGCATTAAACTTACAACCAGAGCTGTACACCATGTGTACTAAACTTACAACCAGAGCTGTAAACCATGTGTACTAAACTTACAACCAGAGCTGTACACCATGTGCATTAAACTTACAACCAGAGCTGTACACCATGTGCATTAAACTTACAACCAGAGCTGTACACCATGTGTACTAAACTTACAACCAGAGCTGTACACCATGTGTACTAAACTTACAACCAGAGCTGTACACCATGTGTACTAAACCACATGGTGTACAGCTCTGGTTGTAATGCAGATGGTGTAAAGCTCTGGTTGTAAGTTTAGTGCAGATGGTGTACAGTTCTGGTTGTAAGTTTAGTGTTAAACTTACAACCAGAGCTGTACACCAACCGTACTGAACTTACAACCAGAGCTGTACACCAACCGTACTGAACTTACAACCAGAGCTGTACACCAACCGTACTAAACTTACAACCAGAGCTGTACACCAACCATCCTAAACTTACAACCAGAGCTTTACACCAACCGTACTAAACTTACAACCAGAGCTGTACACCAACTGTACTAAACTTACAATTTTGAAACACAGTGACTTAGCTTCATTAACTGTTTACATGTGCAAACCAACGAAAAATTTTTGCTTTCTCAGCTCTCTTCACATGTCAGTTGGCATTGAGACTACTGAGAAGAAAAAATCAGGGACTGTGCTTTTCTACAACCAGACAAAACATGGAGAGGATATTGCATACCATATAACATGTTAGTATTCAGTAAAAGCTGGTTCTCTTGGGTAGCCAGTTGCTTTATTTTACAATGTCCTGGACCTAGCAACCATCAACTCCTTTGGTTTGTACAAGGAATACACTGGATAAAATATAAGTAGGAGAAATTTCTTCTTAATGCTAGCTTCACAACTCTGGCAAAAACATGTTTGAAAAAACTGCAAAGAACTAAGTATCTCAGCCTGAATCCAGTGCTGTATTCAGTGAAACGTGTAAAAGAAAACAGTGCCAGGTAGCTTAATACATTAAAAAAACAGGACTTCAGATAAATGTGTCCTGTGTGAAAGATGCATATGTGTTAACTGCACAGCAAAAATTGTACCACTTAGGCCAGTTTATAATAGGAATGACATAATTTTCTTAAGATTAATTTTTTTTATCAAACTTATAGTGTTTAGAATAATTTTCCTGCTAGTTTGTTTCTTGCACAGTTGTTCATTTTAATACAGTGTTTCAGATGTAATTACATTTGATTTGATGTTCCAAAATATAACTTTTGAGGTTGATCCAATAATTTATCTTTGATCTTAATACTGATTTTGTAACATGTAGCAGTCAAAATGTTGGCATTATGGTGGTTCTAAGTATGAGTGAAACTGGTAATTCTATGTTAGGTCTATGACATCCAAGTAAATTATTTAGCAGTAACACATACTGTATAATATCTATTTAAAAAAAAATAGAATTAAAGTTCTTTGTAATCATATGAATATTGACAAAATTTTTATGTTTAAAAATTTAATTTAAAATCTTTGTTTGATGGCATGTTTTTCATTGTTACACATCACTGTGAGTTGAAATATCTTGTTTTTCATTGTTAAAGTTATCACTGTGAGTTGAAATATTTTGTTTTTCATTGTTACAATTATTAATGTGAGTTGAAATATTTTGTTTTTCATTGTTACAATTATTAATGTGAGTTGAAATATTTTGTTTTTCATTGTTACAATTATTAATGTGAGTTGAAATATTTTGTT